CCCAATGAGCTTAGCTCATTCGTCACAGCCAGTTCTTCAACTGGAATGCTGCAAAAGAAATGTATGTCAAAACGGACTGTATGTCCGGGCTCAAGGCTTTTCCTTAGTAGGCCGATGGATCCTGAAGGAAAACATGGGGTGATCCATGGCTCATCAAATCTTCACGTCATTACGGTGCCCCTCTGCTAGGCACGATCTTTCCGCACTTCGAACTCTGTACGACCGCTCCAGTCGCCCGAGAGTTTGTGACTTGATGGTTGGAAGAAACTGTCCTCATCGATGAACTGCCTTCCGTCAGTGAACATAGCATAAGTTCGCCGATTTCCAGTCAACCGAATGAGAGGAACTTCTGTTGGTAGTACCGCTTTCCTTGGGTCAAAGCGGAAGGTTCGCACCTTGGCGTGGAAACGAACAAGCACATTTCTCTGAGGATCCCAATGGAAGGAATCCTTCTGCACGTAAGATGGGATGCTTTGATGCCAATACCCTTGGACTCCAGCCCACGGATGAGGATCTGGCCACTGCTGTCGCGGTGGGAAATGGGTTGGCCATGTTGGATGAATCTTCTCCCCACCTGCACGACTGCCGTGGCCAGGAGCTTCCGTTTCTCGCACGCCAGAAGTCATCCCAAGAGCTGTCGATTCTCGCACGCCAGCGTGGTCTGGGTCCTCAGGAGCTTTTGATTCTCGCACGCCAGAAAACCTACTGAGCTTCAGAACTTCTCCGGGAGCAACCGTTTGTCGCAAGCCAGAAGACCCACTCGAACCCACACCGGATGCCACCTCCGAGGTCCTTACATCCTCCGCTTCGGAATTTCGGGTTGGCCTATGTTTAAGATGGGAGCGGGAGCTTAGGGTCCTACGAACCTCACTAGAGCCCTTCATGCCCTCAGTGGCGTTCCCAACCACCGACCATTGATCATCTTCATCGTCACTCAGACCAACCGGTCTCATAGACCTCACCTCTGCGGGATCCTCGGTCTCCCTTGTAGGGCTTCCAGAGCACGAGCGTCGCATCAAGCCAACAGCCAACACAGCCATCACCGCACTGACCACATACAGGAGATTCGTCATCCAATCGTCACCGCCATGGTCTTCAACAGTAATGGTCAACTTGGAGGCCGCAACCGACAGCGCAACCGCTAGCACAAGCGCTCGGACACCCATGGCACCGAGATTGAAGCCGGCACTACCCTTGACACTCAAATCCGGATTCAAGCTTCCCTCGCGCAGCTTACGAACCTCAACTGATCCCACAAGATCTGCAGGACTCATCATCTCAAGCAGTTGTACCAACTCTCTATGCCTTTGTCCTTGCAACGCTTTTGTTGCCACGTCCGCGAGCATAAATCGACCTGATAGGTGCCTCATCTCGAACAATTGGCTTTCGAGCTTTTCTCGGCCTGCCCTGGCCTTTAGACGCAAATGCCGGGTCCTCCAGGCACCAGCTGGAGCACTGAACAAACTAACACAACCCAAGCTGTCGCTGTAGAGCAGCTTCCGAAGGGGGACCGTAGCAACTTCTGAAGCAAGACCCTCAAGCACCTCAATCATCAAGACCCCGTCCAAGCTGCTGTACATTTCAGCCTCGGCACTACTCTGCGCAGTGGTGGATTGTCTATGACTAGCCCAGGCAATCACTGATCCACAGAAGACCGCAATGATTCCTGTCTGGGATTTGTCAGAAGCTGGTCCGAAAGAGGCGTCCGCAAACACCTCAAGGATCCCCGGAGATCGTGGCGCCGTCAACTCCTCACACTTACCAAAGCGGTTCTGATCATCAAGAGGTCTGAAAACCAACCCTAGAGCAGGAGTAGTCCTCAAATAGCGAATGATGTTTTCGGCATACCGAGTAGCGTAGCGAGGATACCTAGACATGAGTTGAGCCGTCCGGTTGACGGCGAAACAAATATCCGGTCTCGTTCTGGTCGTAATCCATTGCAAAGCCCCGGTAAGAGCCTGAGCTCTTTTCAACTGCTCTGGGCTTGGAGTCTCCGGTTCAAGCTCCTCTTCCTTGAGACAAGGAACCTCCGAAGTTCCCTGAATGTCAGAAAACCTTTGCAACAAATCTTGAACGTAGTCCTCCTGATTAAGAAGGTAACCACCCCCTTTCAGTTTGTGCAAGTTGAAGCCGCAAAACCGGATAGGCCTGCCTTCTTCAGCAGACTCTGGTTCTGAGGTAGGCACAATCGATCGAATCTCCTGCACCAGTCTTTCCTTGACCAGCTCCTCCGCTGTAATGAGCATGTCATCGACATAAATGCCGAGCAATCCATGAAGCACAGGTTCCGACCCTGAACCGGCATCAACGGCACCACCAACTCCCCCCGATAGCGGCTCGCTAACGACCTTCCACAGGTTGCTATCTGCCACGCACTGCTTCAAGGAGAAACGTCGGCCGTCATCCTCCCACGTGTGCTGTCGAAGCAACAGGTCCCGATGTGAAGACCAACGTCGAGGAGCCTCTGCAAGGCCATACAATGCCTTTAGCACTAACCATTTTTCCGATTCCTCCACGAGCCCTAGACGAACTAGGACCCTGGGGGGAGTCACAACCACAACCTTTACCTTGTTGCCTTGCACGCTTTTGAGCTTCTTCACTAGCACCTCAAAGTCAAGACGTCCAGGGCTGAAATCTCCAGGAGACAACACCGCCTGACCTTGGCGATCCTGGTACAATGGGGCTCCCAGGAAAGCGGTTTTGATGTCCAAGGTGGCATTACCCCAACCCTTAATCGCCGCAACACTAGTCTGAAGCCGTACACTAACCCCATCAACACCCCCAGCATAGAGATCCTGAGATCTTGTACTGCCCTTTGCAGCATCTTCAGGAGAAGGATCGCTCTCAAGGAAATTTCCGCATCCTACTATGCGGGCCCTAAGTCTATTGGTGATTGGCTTCTGGGTGTACACACCCTTCGCGGGAATTACCGACACCTCAGCAAGCTCCTCCAAGCGCTTAAGTTCCTCTGGACCTATAGCCCACACAGCCCTGTGCAAGTCTTTCAAGGCGACAGCTTCATCAGTCAGCGGCTGTCTCCATTGTTCAAGGTTTTCCCAGACCTCGGCCTGGGGAACGATTCTGGTTTGGAGAAGCGCACCCGGGACTGCACATGCACCTTTTTCAACGATCTCAGGAGTTTCAAGCCCAAAGTCAGGATGAAGGGTTGCCGGGGACTCCCCCGCGACCAAGCCATCACCAAGCGCAAAAGTAGGATCACCACCAACGCTCAACATCGACGCAGGCTCATCAGCAATTGGTGAGGGCTCCGTGGGAACCTTGATCGCCCGCACCTGAGGCAGGCCTGTTTTTTCCGCCTCACACAACGCTTGTTCAAGCTCACGCTCAACCGACGCCAACTTATGCAAGGCAAACTTAGAACGGACACGCTCAAGCTCACGCTCACAACCATCCTGCTCCTGCAACAAAGTGGCAACCCTCAAGTCCTCCTGCAACTCAGCAAGCAAGCCGGGCGTCACGCTGGTAAGTCCCTGCTCCAGTTCTTCGACCAACGCCTTCTCCTCTTCACGCACAAGCTGCAACAGGCGAGCAACTCTTTGATCAAAATCCTTCGGCTCACCCGTGTATCCCCACTCCCCCTCGCAGGAGTCCTCCTCTGAGTCAGTGCTGATGTCAAAATATTGGGGGTCCTTGCCGATCTGCGCCGCAAGCTTCGGATGCTGAGGCTGACACGCAACATGAGAAGGCAACGGGAAGCCAAGTTCTTGAAGAGTTTGCATGTCCTGATTCTTGCACCTATGTAGACATCTGGGCGTGTAAGCTATAACTACAATGCGATCGCCATCGGCAGCCTCAACAGCAGCTCGCTTCCGCGAGTCAAACCACACAGCCTGCTCATCCCCACCATAAAAAGCACCCCAGCGACCATCCCACTGAATCCAATCCTGTGACCCCGAAGCATCTTGCCCTTCAATCCATAATCTACCTCCTCTAAACCGACTAATGGGAACCAGCCAGTTTTTCGAGTTCTTCATGTTCCGATCGCTGTGTGGGGCGGCTTGCATGCCCCATGTGACCCTCAAAGCGGTCCAAGACTTCTGGCCACCCCTCAACGAAACCAAGGAGCCAAGGTATTTGTTAAGAAGCTTGACCGTGTAGGGCATGAGTTTCGTGCGATTCGTAAGACCTACTTTGTTTCCATACACATAAAAACCCAAAGTCCAAGCCCTAGCTCCTACACCCTTAGCGGCCACATCTACTGTGCGAGATTTCGCCTGGAAGTCTTGAAGGGAACGCCGCAGGACACTTTCAACATCTTCACGCCGAGGAGGGCCGTCTTGCGAAAGCAGATGCAGGCAATACCTTTCTGTTTGCACAGGCGTCCAGGTATCCGAGCCAAGTAGCAGATCCTGTTCGTTTTGAGACAGAACAGCCTGAGCTAGACACCTGCCTACACCGTCACGACTGGGCAATGACTCGTTCTGACCAGACTCCCGAAACACGGCCCGAACCCTCGCTACACCATCCAGATCCCCGCTTTCCTCTTCAGGAGCGTCAATCACTCCTACACCCCCCCCCATCGTCATCACAGGCACCGTCACCCATGACATCACCATC